GTCACCCACTCGTGGGAAATTGGATCCTCGTGTTATTTCTTGCATTTTCTTGGGGTACCCTACAAATCAGAAGGGGTATCAATGCTTTGATACCGTCTCTCAAAAATATCATGTTTTTATGGATGTCTTCTTTTTTTGAGAGTGAACCTTTCTTTCCTGTTTCTCCTCAAGAGGAGTGTAGGCATGAGGACAAACAGATTCTGAATCCTCCTCTACCCTATATTCAGCTCCCTCCTCTACCTGATCCTCCTCCCTTTCGTGTTTTCTGTCGTAATCATAAAGGCCAGCCAAGTTCAAGAGTTGTGGAGCATCTAGAAGTTGTACCACCAATGCCAACCAGGTACCTTAGTTTCCATTGATATTTCTGACTCTATTTCTATTGATACCTCCAGTGCTAATGATCTTGACCTTCCTATTGCTCACTGGAAGGGTGTTAGGTCTTGCACCACCAAGCACCCCATTTCCCATTTTGTTTCCTATGAAAACATTTCACCTTCCTTTTGGGCATTCCTCTTTTCCATTGACAGTGTTCCTATTCCTAAGAATGGATAGAAGCTCTCTCGGTTCTTGAATGGACAGATGCAATGAAAAGAGAAATTAATGCATTACATAAAAATGGTACATGGGAATTGGTGGATCTTCCTGAGGGAAAAGAACCAGTTGGACGTAAATGGGTATTTACAGTAAAACATAGGGTTGATGGCACAGTGAAAAGGTATAAAGCTCGTCTAGTGGCAAAAGGGTTCACTCAAGTGTATGGGGTGGATTATGCAAAAACTTTTGCACTAGATGCTAAGATGAACTCCATTAGGGTTTTCTTCTCTTTAGCTGCTAACTTCGATTGGGAACTTTACCAATTGGACATCAATAATGCATTTCTAAATGGTGATCTAGAAGAAGAAGTGTAGATGGTAAACCCACTGATTTCCGGGCTCAAGGTAATGAACAAAAGGTATGCAGGTTAAAAGAGTCATTATATGGTCTGAAACAATCATCAAGAGCTTGGTTCAACAGATTCCAGGTAGTAGTACAACAAAAGGGCTACAAGCAACGTCAATCTACTCATACATTGTTTGTGAAAAGAGGGGAAGGGGAAATTGCAACCCTAATAGTATATGTTGATGATATAGTTATCACTGGTGATTGGAAAGATGAAATTCAAAGATTGAAGGGATTTCTTGCTACTCAGTTTGAGGTGAAAGATCTAGGTCCTTTGAGATACTTCCTTGGAATTGAAGGTGCCCGCTCACAAAAGGGTATCTTCATTTCTCAGAAAAAGTATGTCCTCGATTTGTTACAGGATACAGAAAAATTGGAAGTGAAACCCGTTGATTCTCCTATTGATCCTAATCACAAATTAAGTGATTGTCCAGGTGAATTCATCAAAGATGTGAAGCAATTTCAGAGGCTTGTAGGAAGACTGTTATATCCCTTCATGATCAGCCAGACATTGCTTATGCAGTGGGTGTTCTTAGTCAATTCATGCATGCCCCCAAGACCACCCACCTTGAAGCAGCTGAAAGAATTCTCAGATATCATAAAAAATTCCCAAGTGCAGGTTTATTGTTCCAAAAGCACGGGCATTTGAAGGTTAAAGTGTATACTGATGCAGATTGGGCAGGATCATTGGATGATAGGAAGTCTACCAATGGCCATTGTACCTTTGTGGGAGGAAACCTAGTCACTTGGAAAAGCAAAAAGCAAAATGTGGTGGCTAGATCTAGTGCTGAAGCTGAATATAGAGCAATGTCTCATGGAGTGGCTGAAATAATGTAGCTAAAAAATCTATTGAGTGAGCTAGGATTTACAGTTGATGGACCTATGACTTTATATTGTGACAACAAGGCAGCTATAAACATTGTTGCTAACCCAGTACTGCATGATAGAACCAAGCACCCCCTATGTCAGGTCCGAAGATCAACTTGCATACATCTTCACAAAAGGGTTACATCATTTGCAACACATTGATCTATGTAACAAGTTAGGCATGGTTGATATGTATGTTCCAACTTGAGGGGGAGTGTTAAAAGGTTGTTTATAAGTTGTTTTCTTTGTTTTTTTTTATTTTTGTTAGTGTCGCAAGGGTACTATTGCAATTCCCCTCTCTTTATGTTATGTTTTGGTCGCCTTAATATAAATACCAAAAAGCTAGCACCGCCAGCAACACTTCTTGCTCTCGTATCTCTCTTTTCTCCTCTCTTTCCCTCTTCTCTCTTCTCTTCACTTCAGCTTCTAGACAAGAAAGGACCAGTTTCCTACTTTGTTTGCCTTGTCTAGAAGCTGAAGTGAAGAGAAGAGAGAAGAGGGAAAGAGAGGAGACTGTTTCCACATTTCTAGTACCCTCAAACTCTGCCTCAGTGGTTGGTTGGAATTTGAGTTTAAGAAGGGCTATTAGGCATTCAAAGTTAAATAACACGTCATCACTTGTGGGTATCCTTGATGGGGTTTACCTAGACCCTTACAAAACCTGATTGTAGGGTGTGGACTCTCTCGGCCTTTGGGCAATTCACTTGTGCCTCCTTTTTCAAAGCCTTAACTCAACCAAATTTTACCCTTGGGTTGTCTTTCCCTATTATGGAAGTTTGGTGTAATTCCTATTCCTCCTAGGGCTGGGGATTTTTGTTGGGAAGCATTCTTGTACCAAATCAACACATGTGACTTGCTTCAGAAAAAAAATAGACCAAAAGTTGTTTGTCTCCTCATTGGTGTGTTCTTTGCAAAGCTAATGGTGAGAATGGTTATCACGTATTAATTTCCTGCCACTTTGTTAATTGTATTTGGGAACGGATTTTTTCTTTGTTTGGGTGTAGGTGGGACTCCCCCACCGGATGTGCAAAGTCTTTGCCTCTTCTTTTTTCAGGTGGCCAATGAAAAGAGGGGGGATTATGTAGAGAAACAAGGGATGCAGCAAAGGAACATGACAATTTTTTAAGACAAGGAAAGAGGGGTACAATCCATCTTAGAGGTGATTCACAGCAAAGTGATACATTGGCTTAAATATATGGAATTGTTTAATGCCTTCTCAACTGATGATTTGATAAGGAATTTGAAGGAAGTTGCAAGGTCAACTCCATCAATAGTGTCTTCACTACATGTTTGGGCCCCTCCTCCCAGTGGGTTTATTAAGCTTAATTTTGACGGGAGTAGTGTGGGGAACCTAGGGCCCTCAAGCATTGGGGGAGTATTAAGGATGAGGATGGAAATGTAATTGCTCTCTTTTCTGGTCCAATAGGTAAGGGTGACTGTCTTCGGGCTGAGATTATGGCAGCTTTTGAAGGTGTACAAAGGGCCAAGGACTTGAATAGTAATAAACTTGTATGGGGGAAGATTCTAAGTTGGTGGTAGGCTGTTTAAAGGAAGAGCTAACTGGGTTTTGGAATTACAGCAATGAAAAGAGGAAATTCAAATGGTTGACAAAGGATATTGATGTCAAGTTGAATTGGGTAAAAAGAAGTTTCTAACTCCTTTGTTGATGGGTTAGCTAAGCAAAGGGTAAATAGGGATAATTCGCTTTGAGCTCACATGTAATTTTATTTTTTTGCTTCTTTTGGTGTGAGAGTTATGAGAGATTATCCCTCCCCTTATTCTAGTACTTAATTTCCATATTTTAATGAAAGCTATTTGTCATTGATCAAAAAAACACAGTTTGAACTCTGATGTAGTTATGTCAAACTTGAGTGCAGAAAAGGGAGGAGAAGAGAAGATATCAAAGAGCTCAAGACATTTTAAAAGAGACCGTGGTGCTGCATTTTATGGAGAGGAGAATTCCATCACTTAACCAAAATTTTTCTAAGGATTCCACAAGCACCCCTCCAGAACATCCCGCCTCCCAAAATACATACACAAATGCATGGACGATAGGCTTAAAACAACTCCTTCAACTTGAGGGGAGAAAATTTTAACCCAAAAAAAAAAACACCAAAAACCTTTTCTTCCCATCTCATCATTATGGCTAATTGTAATCAACAAGCCAATTGCAGCTTCCTATGCCCAAAAATAGAACTATGCCCAGTTGCTCACTAAACGTTACAAACCACCCATGGAACTTCTAATTATTAATTCACCTCTGTCAATCCATCTAAAACCACCTAATGCTCACTGTAAGTATGGATTGCGCCCCTTTTTCCATAATTATGGCCTCTGATTCTCTGAAAAGTCAAACTTGAAAACTTTGAGAAACTTAAGCCGTGCTGACACTGGAACTTGAGTATACATTACTCCGTCCTACAAAAACAGCATAACTGCTTCCAACTTTATCAGATGCCAAAACCACTATAAATAAATTAAAAAAAAATTGAAATTCATTAGCTTGACAATATATCATATATGTTTAGTGGCATCAGTTCTAAAATTTTTAACATAACAGTTCGCTTCAGCTTTGAATATGCAGGATTTTATTTAAGGTATTGATATCATCATCACTCGACCCTTATTCCAACTGGCCGCTAGTTGGAATTTTAGTAAATAAGTCTTATTATGGCACCCGCTCTATCTAATGGCTATATTTTGTTATAGTATGGATCTAACTGATTTTTTCTTAATAACTCGACCCACGTCTTTTTAGCCTCTCCTTTCCATGATAGCAGACTTCAAAGTGCAAAGAAACCAGTGTCGGACAAACAATTATAATCATACAATAGTACAATACTCAGGTTAACGGAAATGCTGTTCGGGGAAACTAAACATGTATAATCGTTATGTACTCCACAGAGTTTATAATGTAAGTGTAGAATTAGGAAAAAGACAGAATTCCAGCGGGAGGTTAATTTAATATGGATTCTGAGAAGATCCTGGGGAACATTACATATAATCTCCACTCTCCGAGATAATATGAACCGAATGATTAGTCATGCGGCGTGCTTGGTAAAACAAATAACAGCTACACGATTAATAATAAGATGTGTATAAAAGAAGGGACAAAAAGAAACAAAATACAAAAATGGTTTCGATATCAATTTCGACAAACAAAATCAGTCTCTCGGAAAATTTAAATCGAGTACCTGAAGAGTTCAATGTGATCAGTGCAGTAACGCGTTTGCTCTTCGCCTCCCTGACAATCAAAATCAAAATATACGACTAAATTCAGTAATCTAATATTCGAAAGAGATCTAAGTTCAATATGCGTCGGAATAAATATGTTGGAAAAAATGATTATAGAGAGAAAATATTACTTGCAGAAAGACGAATCCCTGGAGAGGCCGAGACGATGAGGAGAGATGTAGACGAAGGGCTTTAATGAGCTTGGCTCGATTTTCTGCGTGCATCTCCATCGGAACTTCGGGTGGGGAGAGGGACGAAGGGGATGCCATCGAAATGAGTCGGTTTGTTTCCCCCCCGTTGCTGCAGACACAAAAGTGTAGACGCGGGATTTTATATACCGTTGGCGTTTTATATACGCGCCATATATTATAAATACAACCAGATTTACTCCTAACCAAACGCGCCCCACACAAACCACACAGAGCATGTAATGACCACGAATTTTCAATGCCGGATCTCCTACACACTAAATTTCTGCTCACTCCGACCCACAAAGCACTACCCCGTGCATTGGGTACATCTCCCATGCATGTGGGCGTGAAATACGCTACCCCGTGCATTGGGAATATCTCCTATGCATAAGGGCGTAAAACGTTATTACGTGGGTAGAATTGTCGTGGGTAGGAGTTCCGACTCTAAATTTTTTTTCATGTCGACTTATTCATGGGCGGGTTTGGGGCTGAATTTACACTGTATTAGATTTGAAATTCGGGTCGGATTCACAGGAATGGAATTATATCGGATTTGCTCCTACAGTGCCTCTCACACCAACCTCACGTTACATAACACATACATTAAGAACATGAGATTTTCTACTCTCTAAGGTGACGTTTGAATCGTTCGATTCGAACCGATGACCTAACCAATTATTCGGTTTGGTCACATCTTTCAATCGAACAAAACCGAATAGGGATTGATTCGATTTTTTATTTGTTTATTTTTATTTACATTTTAAAAAAGAAAAGGATTAAGTTAATAGAATGAGGGGAAAAGGGGGAAGTTAGTAATTACAAAAATTATGAACTCTTAACTGTTTGACTCCTAACCCAAATCGGCAACTCCAGTCTGGTTGTATTTGAGTTTTCCACTTACTAGTTGCTAATAATTACTAAATATTATTTATTAAAGTAATAATTAATTTAAAGTTGTGTTTTTATTTATTACATATACTAACTAAAATTTCGATTGGAGAGATTTAGGAAAAAGTGTAATATATAAAATAATAAATTAATTAATAAAAACATTATACATTTAATATAAATAATTAATTATATAATATACAATTATATATAGTATAGTAGTTCGGTTTTTGGTTTAGTTTGGTTAAATTTTGTAGACAATATGAAACCGGAAATTGAACTTTTAACACATAAAAAAATGAATCGAACCAATATCCGAATTAATCGAATCGAATTAGCTTATTTGGTTTGGTTCGGTTTGTTTTTTAATTTTGGTCCAAATTTGAACACCCCTATTCTACAGCACAACTGCAATGCAATCTCGTATTGGTATGAGGCGCCCTCAGAGAGCAAGTCCAATTCTAGATAATAGCACATTAACTTACAAGATACAGTTAAAGGCAATGTTTTCAATATGCCATTGACCACGCTGGTCGAATCGTTTGAACCATCACCTCACCAAGATTTTGGGTCCGGTTTAGTCAAGACATGCCAAACAATTAAAAAAAAACATTGACTTGGTTAATAATCATTTGGCCTAGTTGGTTCAACTGTTGACCTATTCGACCAGGTGACCATGTCATGGGTTGCACACTCAATTCGTGCAAACTTCAGGAGGCCATAACTTTGCACTTCGATGTCCGATTGTGATGATTTTTTTATTTTTTGCAATTTTTCAAGATTTATGCATCCCAATTGGACATAGACGCCTTGCCTCACTATTTTCATGAAAAAAAAAACATTTTTTGCCTCAAATTGCATTTCTTTAGATATTTTTACAAATAAAAAATAAATACAAATTGAATTAAAACACATAAATCAAATATAAATTAATAAATATAACATATTTATATATTCCACAAGCGACCTATAGGCAACAACGATTTGTCCTTCAGGCTGATTAAAGCATTGGTTAAAGGTGTAAACAAATAGAATTTGAATCGTATCAAGCAATATCTAAATTTGAATATGATTGTAAAATTTGATATCCAATATATATTGGAAATCATTGTTTGAGTTTGGATTTGATTGTATATTTGATATTCAATTTGATTCAAATTTGATCAATTAATTATTTTAGGTCATTAATAAATATGTTTATTTACATGAAGCATTTAAATATATACATTATATAAATGATTAGAAAATTATATAGAAATATATAATCATTTAAATTTTTTATATTTTATGTATACAAATAAAATAATAAATCAAGTATAGATATTTATCGAATCAAACCAAATCACATATAAATTTGATTTGATTACTTTAAACGATATGAATATGATATCCAAATTTGACCGGTTATAACATTCAAATTATCTGAACTCAATTCAATTATGTCGAATTTAAAATTCAAAATCGAATATTTAAATACCGTTGACATCCCTTAAAAAACAACCATAGCCCTTAGAGATATGGGAGATGTGCCCAATAAACGGTTAAAAGTGTTGGGAGTGAGGCTTGCTTTGTTATAAGCAAATCCATAATAATTGCAAACATTGAAAGACGATACTATGCTTTTTTGGGGAGGAAGGTAAAGTATTTTTATTCGTTTCAAAAAACATACAAGCTGGGCTCAAACCCAGAAGGGCAGCTTGAAAACCATAGCAGTTACATTGTCCACCAGGAAATAAAGTAAGAGAAAGAATACAAATTCAGACTTTTGAATCCCTCAAATACATATATCCAATAAATCAACTTGCCCACAACTATCTGAATGATACCTTAAGGGCTTTTAGCTTTATTACAAAAAACTATACTATTCCTCTCAGCCCAAATGGACCATAAGACAGCAACAGGAATAGTCCTCCACACCATGCTCCCTTTCTTGCTTAGGCTTCTCACGTTCCAACAATAGAGTAAACCCATTGGATTGAAACCTTCTATCAAAATTGACATCGTGTCAAAGTGCACTAAGTCTAAGCAATTTATGGCCGAAGTGACCGTGGGTCGAATCGAGGTTCATATCAAATAAAGGCAATTTCGAGTCAAATTCGGGTCATGTCAATATTTGGAATAGGACACCAAAGTAAAAGTGTAAGTATGGTAAGTTAGGTTGGGTTTATGGTCAACCTAGGCCCAACCCTAAAAATTGGGCTTAAGGCTCAAGATTGAATCGATACTGAGATTAAGCTTACTCTTCCCAACCTGCAATGTATTTTAATGCATTTGGGTTGGGCTCGAGTTTGTTAATGAACCCATCTAAAATTATTCATGTATGTATGCATTTATACAAATGTATATACATACAAATATATATGTATGTATGCAAAAACTTACATATATACATATGTATGTATGAATGTGTATAGTTGGATTGGGTTTGGGTAGGGTTCAGGTTATCTAATGGATAGGCTTTGGTCTAGTCCAAAAAATAAAAAGCCCAAATTCTTGGGCTCAAACCCAACACAAGGACCGAAAATCCAAGCCTAACTAGTGTAAAATTCCAAGATGCATCAGTTTTGGTTTGGAGTGGGCCCACCCAAGTTGCACCCCTAGGTTAAAGGCTAGAACCATAACCCTGAATGTTGAGGTTATGATTGACCCATGGGTCATACGGGTCAATAGTTAAATCGTTTGTCTCAAGTAGTCTTTAACTAAGTAAGAATTATCTACCAAGAAAACAAGTGGTAAATGTAAATAATTGCAAAAACAAACAAAAAGTAAAGGCGCAAAGAAAACAAGAAAAACAATGCATTAAGAATTTTTACAAATGTTCAATTAACATTGGACTACATCCTCTAGCTCAAGCACCCTTATAGGATTTCCACTAATACCAATTAGACTTTCAGTGTCAACAAAGCCTATACAACCAACAAGACTTCAAAGTGTGTGCTTATGCGTGTCTACTCAATGTAACTTGTTAGAACTTATTGGTATCTACCAAACTTTGATTGAACTTCTATGTGTAAGTCAAACATTGAATGGTTCCCCCGCCCCCCTCTTAAACACTTTGTTTTTTAAAATATATTACAAATAAACTTATTGTACGAAAATGCATATCAAATAGGCAAGCAAAACATATAAACCTAAAATTATTCAAATGTAAGATATGCTTTGCATATAAATCTCAACTCAATTAATAGATTTTAAATAGTTCAACGATAAGCGTATAAACCTTACACCTACTTTGCTATCACTGTTTTGAAATAATAAAACTCATAAGTCTCTTTAATAAATAAGGAATTATTTCAAAAACTTTATATCAAAACTATACAATATATACAATGTTGGTTCTTTTATATTTCAAACCAAAACATCTTATCTATAGAGGTTAAGATCAAGTGACCATTTTCTAACCATTGAGAAAATTTAGATTATTAGTATGAAATGTTTTAAACTTATTTCCAAAAAGATGTAAGTAGACATTTTCGTGGATTGACCCTAAGCTTGGCTTTTGCCAACTTTTTATTGGGTTCAACACAAAGCCTAATCGCATAACAATGTAAAGTTAGGGCCAAAGCCCAACTAGTGAACATGTTTATATAGAAGGTATACAAAAAATAGATGTAGTTGTTATGCCTTTTAATAGTAAAATTATTCTAATAGTAATGAATTGTTTGATGAATGAAGTAACATTTTTTTCTCCTACGATCAATTACTTCATATTGATAGTGTCTGGTTAAATATACCAAATTTTGGTTGTAAAGTATAATCAACTATATGCAGTTGATTATATCAAACTGGATAATCAACTATATGTTTTCCAATACATTTAAACATTGTGAATTGTAGTCCAAATGTTTGAAGATCTTTCTCATGGTTTTCAAATATGATTTTTAACATTTTAATTTTTGTTTTAAGTTTATAAAAAGCCTATAAACTAAACCTATTATAACCACTGGTCTTTAAGAGGGTTGAACTGTTGTTAAGCTCAATGCGTTGTGTATCTAAAGCATGTGATTTCATTATAACACTTGGAATTATGAACTTGATGCTTATTCTTCGTTGATAAGTTGTAGCACGACTTTAGAAGTTGCTAATATTTTCTTGCTCTTTGTAGATATTTGTTTTTCTTGGAGTTTCCTTATTTTGTTTGAAAGATTATGATGTTCACATTTAGTTGTTTTCGAGCCTAAAACCTTAGC